GAAACAAACCGCACAAAGCCCTCAGAGAAGCTTCTGAGCAGGCTCTGGCTTTTGCTCACTCAGTGTCTAGATTTGGAAGTTTTGCTCTGCCGTCAGTCACAGCGCAGCCTCCCCCAAAAGCGAACGCACAGCACTATTGAATCGAGACCGAGTCCGAGAGAGTGGCTAAAAATCCCAAGACAAGCAGCGCTACAAACACAGCCCCACAGCTGGGTCTGTGCCTGCCGGCCTCCAGCGAGAATGGGTGGTGCTGCACGCACCTCCAACGACCTGTGCGCCCAAATTTCCGAGCTCCTGAGCAGAGCCTGTAAAAACAGTGCTCAGGGAGTCAGGTCCCAGCCACACCAAGACCGGGAGAATCTCAGTACTGCTGCCTCTATTCCTCCACGTTCACGCCATCGCCATCCCAGGCCTGCCCGAACTTCATCAGCACCGACTTCAGAGGGTAGAGGTCCGGTTCCGCCAAACGGTAAATAAAGACCCCGGCGTGGGCCGCCTTCCTATCCATCAGCGTGCCCAAGTCGGCCCTCACTCTCATCCACTCCATCCTAGTTAGCGCGGATCAGAACTCCTGCCTCAGACCGCACCAGCGCCTGCACTGCTGCTGAGCATCTCCACCCAAGTCCAAGGCTTGCCCTCATGCCGATGAGCTGCCAGGAGAAAGGGCAAATCTTCTCAGAGGCCATCTTATGGGCTGGCCAACCTCACTGAGTGTCCTTGCAAGGGTCTCGGCAACCGGCCTAGCGCCGGTTGCCCAGTTGGTCAGCAGACTTGGTCTTTGGCATCAAGGGCCTCGCGGCCGACCTCCATCTTGTCATCTCACCGAGCGTCCATGGCAGCGTCCATAGCAGACTCCATCCTATCAGAGAAAAACAGTGGAAAAGTCCCGAAAGAGAAATGGTTTTCCACGAAAGCCACTTGAGCCAATGGCCCCCCCTGAGAACCACGCAAAGGGTGAGTATTTAGCCCTATGACATCAAAGTGTAGCAACGCAAGCATTGTGAACTTATGAGGCGTAGAAGCAGAGTGTGGCCCATTTTGACCCCAATCTGCCGCACAATTTTTGTGGTTGCCTGGAGCCCTGCTACCGTGGATATGCACGCTTTGAAAAGCAATCTGACCCTCAATTTCCAGCATCTGCCTGTGATTTTCGGCGCTTTCAAGCTCATACCATTTGCCGAGCCATCCAACTCCCGCGCAAGGGAATGGCTGACGCAAAGCAAGCTTTGTCTGCAGTTCTCTCCACAAGTTCTCTGCACTGGGTTCTGTAAATAAATGTTACCGATGATGTGCAAGTTGCTCTGTGCAAGTTGCGCTGCGCAACTTGCTCTGTGGAGTTGCTCTGTGCAAGTTGCTCTGTGCAAGTTGCTTTGCGCAAGTTGCTCTGCACAAGTTGGTCCAAGGGCTCCGCACACAAAAGTCCTTCGCGACGCTCTCGAGAAAGCACGACGACGACGGCCACAACCAGAGGAGGAAGAAGAAGAAGAAGAACCAAGGGAAAACAATCGATAACGGCAACCGTGAAGCTTCGCAGCAACAACGACGGCAATGATGTCGATGAGGAGAGGGTCCCTTCGAAGAGAACGAAGAAAAAAAAGGGGAAAAAAAAACGAAGTAAGAACCCACCACCACAAGCGTGACGGCAGCGGCGACAGTTGTGCCGGCGGAAACCACGGACACATCTGGAAGCAAGATGGAAAGCATGTGATCGTCATATCCGCTGGCAACATGAGAGCGAGAGGCAGCTTGCAAATGGAGAGTATGTCGCGCAAAGACCGCATGTCCCTAAACCACCTGACTTGAAAAGGCATTCACACAGCAATGAACAACGGCCCGATTTCGAAATCCCAACTGGCTGAATGTTGCGCGTGTCCAATCGTCCAACATGACCGGCTGAAAGCGACAGGGCGCCGTAGCCGTGCTTCAGGTCGGAGTCCCACTGCCCCTCATAGCCTCCAATCAACGTGTCACTTCTCTTATGGGTTCAAGGCAGGGAACGGATGGTTCTTGAGAAAGGCAGGGTCATAAAATCATTGGAATCAACGTGTGCGAGGAGCTGGGAGGAGCTGCGAGCTCGAGTTGGGCTATTGCTTTTGACCTGAGTCCGGGAGTGGTGGGGTTCCGGGCGGAATGAGAGGGAGTGCAAAGACAGGGCCCAAACAAGTATGTCTTCAGCAGAGCTCAAAGCAGTTTCAGTGAAAGGCCAAATTCAAAAAACGGGCTGCCCATTTTACTTTGGAATGGCAGCAACGATTTGTGAGTTGCCCTGGCAAACTGATCCCGTTTTGGGTCAACGCCCCACCTATGGTCAACATGCGGAGCCCCTCCTTTCATATCAGAAGTGTGGCTTGCTCTTCGGCATCTGCTTGTGCGACAACATGTCTGGCTCGGCCCGAATACAGGCAAAGGTGAAACGTCCACAAGGTACATTGTCAAGCAAAGTTTCACCAAGTCCGTTCTCCCGTTCTCCCCGGACAACCGCCACACACTCCAGAAAATA